GTCCTCCTCTCCTTCTTTCTGATCTTAGTCTATCAGTTCTCATCAGAAGTGGCTGCATTGTCAGGGTTCTAGGTTATCTCCACGGATAGTCCTTGGTTGGAGTATGAGTCTCTGGGAAGTTCCCTGTGTTCAAATTTTCTTGTTCTGTTGTTCTCCTTGTGGAGTTCCTGTCCTCTCCAGCTCTTACTATTTCCCACTTCTTACATAAAATTCTATTCACTCTGGGTTCTTAAATGAAAATCTCATTGCCGGCGGTGGGTACTTCTCTATTAGTCAAGGATGGGTTGCAAGGTACAGATATCCAAAGCAACATGTGCTATTGCTGGTGTTATTGGCTACCCACCATAGATGGTAAGACCTTATTGATAAAGTCACAACATACGTTGGTTGCAAGACATGGAGAAATCAAGTTATACCTGACTTGAAAACTTCCTATGTGCTGGCTAGCTTTCCATAGAGCCAGAAAGTGCTATAGAGGCCACTGGGTGAGAGAAGTCATCCATGCTACCCCTTCAGCCATCCCTGACTAATACGACATTGACCTCCCCAACAAGATTTATTCACTCATGCAACGCTGGCATGAAGGCTATGTTGGGCCAGAGGGAACCAACCAATTTAATTTTGGATCTGAGGCCTGCTTCATAGGAAGGAATCTATGTATGGTACTGTAATTTTTTTATCAAGAGTCTGTGGCTAGTAAGATCATAGGCCCTAGGTGGGAAACCAGACATGATGTCAAACTTCCTGCTAAATATATGTTTATAGCTATAGCTTAGTATTTCCCTCGACTTTGGCCAGAGAGACTTTTTTTTTTTTTTTTTTTTGTGGTTGGCTGCAGTGAATGCTAGCATACCAGTCAATAGTGCTGGAATAGATTGCTGTTGGATGCTTAGCCCTAAATTGAACATCTGCATCACCAACCCCACCCACCAAGGCTAAGGAAACACCAAGGAAGAGAATGGGGAAGGAATGTGAGAGCAGAGGATGGGAGGAACACTCTGAAATGTCCACTGTTCTTACTGGCTTGCTCTTGTGCACATAGCCGTAGCTGAAGTCAGTTCACGCACTCACCGTTGCGGTAGGTAGCCCTGACTAGATTCAGTAGGTTCACATGGAGGAGTACATGTGGATGTCTGATGGAAGTGGAAAGCCACTGGGAGTTGGATAGGAGCAGGGCACATTGGATTCATATGTGAAACTGTCAGTGGTAAGTAAAAGGTATTTAAAAAGAAAAAAAATCTGTACATAACACAACTAAGTCAGAGTCATTCATTGGGGTGACTGAGAAAACACAGGGGACCCTGACTCGGTTTTCTGACAGTTTCTGGGAAGTTTCCATTAGAAGATGAAGCGTTTTCTTAAAACTGCTAAATACCCAGCAATCAAAACTGTTTCAAATTTAAACCAACTGGGAATGGGGTGCGATGCTAGAGTTGAAACTGAGCTATAAAACCTTTATGAGCAGAAAGCCTCCAAAATATAAAAGCACCTGGTACAGAGGACTTGGGGTACCAACTGTGGAAGTAAGCTGAAGCAGGGTAAGGACTTTTGGCTTTAGCAATGGGCAGAAGGACTAAACCCCAAGGGAGGCTTGCATGTTTTCAGAACAAAGGAGCAAGGGCAGAAGCTATTCTGCCCACTAAATTCTAACAAGAATTGGGGTGATTTATATAAGTATTGTGGGAAAAGAGGAGAATCATAGCTCTCATCACCCAGTAACTGTTAGGTCCTGGAGAAGGTGAGAAGCCAGCCCTGGGCATCTGCTTCTGGAGAACGTGAGAAAGGTCTGAAACTTGTGTGACAGAAGTAAATGCTGAGGTGGCTGGCACCTGTTAAGAAAAGCCCCACCCCCAGGCCTCTCCAGCATCTTATTAGAATGATGTCTAATGTGGCACCATATCTGAACCCTTCTGATGCAGCTGAAGGGATCATTTAAGATGATTAACAAGACAACCCTTTAAAACATAGAGCAAACATATTCCACATGTTTTAGGGAAAATAAAAACAAAATTAGTTAAGATTTAAGCTTTTTTTAGACCTCTTATGCCAGCCTTGGTTAGTAGAAATTCAAAGCAGAAGTAAACGTTATTCTTCTAAAGTAGGAAGAATTTAAAAATCAAAAGGATGAAAACAGTGTTTAGGAGAGAGCTGGAAGTCTTCTAGTTACTTTCTTTAGTGTAGATTCACACAGATATGTCTGTATGTATGAGTGTGCGTATGCATGTGTGTGTGTACAACTTGTGGTCCTACAATTACCTTTGGATTTTCTGAAATACTAATCTTATTACAACCAAGTTTCTTCTTTAGGTTTCATTAACTATATCATAAGGAACTGAAATGTATAGTTTAAGATATTGTAGTAAAATAGCAACAAGTTACACAATAAAACATATACCACACCATTAAAACAAATGTTAAATCTTGTAGTCACACATGATGATCAGAGAAAGAAGAAACCTAAGTCCATGTCATAAATGAACTCATGTCTTACTGGAAGGAAGGTGCCAGTTTGGTCAGTGACAGTGAAAACTACAGTTAATATCATAATAAAGACAGATTACTAAAATAGATTAAGTATCAATATATTAGGCTTTGTCATTTTAAAATCTGTCAGTTATCATGTTTAAAAATGCTAAGAGCTTTATAAAATTTTTTCTTAGAAATGAGATTATATTCTTAGTTAAACAGTTGACATGCTTTGAAATCTCATCTGAGAACACATAATGGTTAATGTTCTGGTGCATAGCTGGTGCCCAGAATTAAACGATTTAGACAGTTGATATTGAGATTTAGCAAATTTAATCTCACTTCCCATCACTCCCTGAAAGTCTGCCAACACATCACTCCTGTTTAACTCACTGATGTTTCCTGGAATGAAACTGGACCTTGGTTTTGAAAGAAAGATTTTGGATGTGATATCTCAATTTGGGTCCTCATACTATTTCAAAGACTTTTTCTCACCATTGCTACCCTTCCTGTCGTTTCTCCCAAGAGCAGTGTGGCCTCTAAGTGGGAACTCTTGAGCTTGCTCTTCTCACTAACCACATCTCTGGTGCTGATCAATCTGGGCATAGGAAACAGAATCTGAGTTAGTTCTGCCTTTAGAAAGGTCCTAGTTACCAATGCACAGAAACTTTCACCCATGTGCCTCTCCACAGCACCGCTTACACACTCCACAGTTGTCCACAAGAAATAATGAAAAAGAACAAATAAACAAAGAATCCAACCTCTCGTCCCAGTCTCTCCATAGACTGGGAGCTGAAGGGCTCCACCCGGTCACTCTACAGAGGTGGCCCCAGGCTTTGGCTGGTCCCCAGACACCTAGTACATCCTTCAGCTACTGGTCCAAACAGTGTGGTTTTCATGGCACTACCAACTCTCCAGAGAGATGAGCCAATCAGGCCATGTACTTCTATGACCACCAGTTTGCCTAGATTCCAACTTTGGACAGATCCTTGTCCTGCTTTAACAAAATACTGGGAACTAGGTAGTTTATTGTGAAGATCTGTTGCCTGACAGGGGTCTACTTGGTGGTTCATAGGGTCTTCTCATATCTAAACTTGATGGAAAGACAAGGAAAAGGCTCTCTGGGGTCTTTTTTTGTTACATTACATCCTTTCTATTCCAAACCTCTAACCCTATCACATTAGAGTTATATCCCAAGCCCACTCATGAATTCGTGTAGAATACAGACACACATTCTTTGAATCCCTCCTAAGACTAAGTGCTTTGGCCTACTAAATGGGCTACTAAAACTCAAATGTTTTTTTTTATGCACAAAAAGCATCCATTCCACCACAACAGCTTTAACTCATTTCAACCCTAATTTTGATTCCAGATTCCCATTCATTTATCACCTCAATTAGACATGAATAATACAAGAGGCACAATTCATCTAAGACATCATTTATCTTCAGCTCTGAGCCTGTGACATGAAACAAATCATGTGACTTGGAAATAGGGTGGTGACAGCAAGCATAGGACTAATGTTCCCATTCCAAAGGGGAGAAAGGGAAAGACAAACAGGGACAAATTCTAAGTTCAAAGCAAGTCCTTAACCTAATATGGTAAGCCCCATGGATGGACTGTAAAGCTGGAGTGTAATAATATTTGGGTCAATCTTTGGTCCCACCTTCTAGGCCCATTATCACAGTACTCTCCATGCTTACGGTGGTCCTTGCTTATAGTGGAGCCTTCAGCAGAAGTCTGCCCATGCCTCGGTTTTCTTCCAGAGAAAGGTCCCAGGTCCATTCTGTCTCTGAATTCACACACACACACACACACACACACACACACACACACACACACACAC